TCACAGGTATGATTTGCTATTTCACTCTACTACCACCTATTTTCCTCATTTACCTCAATTGTTTTTCAGGTCTTCATAAAATTTTAAACATTAAATTTTAAACATTTTAACCAGGATAAAATTTGGAGAAGTCTCATTGATCCATTCCTGAAATTAATGATACAGATAAAATGTTATACATCATGAGTTTTCAATAAAATAATGTTTTTCAAGTGCCTCCATTTAAAAAAAAAAAATTGGAGTGGGTTCCTATGCTGCTAAATACTTCCAAAAATAGTACCTCTCTATCTATTTTGCTGGTAGAGTATCTGACATACTTGAACCCACTCCTAACTCTCCTAATGAGAGTTACTACTGCACTATACTAATTACTGCAATACTAGTAATGTGCACAACCCCCCGGTTCATTACAAAATCCAAATGCATTCCATAGGGTTACATGAGATGTATCTTACAGCAGAATGCATTTCTAGTGCTCCAAGGGAATCTTGGCTACACTTCATATTTCCATTTAACTTGTGATTATTTTTTTTTAGTCATATTTGGGAATTCAATACTCATGAGAAATACCAAATGCAATAGATAGAAATGGTTGAATAGAGGCCAAATGATAGAAGTCTGGTTTTTTTTATTAGTTGTAAAATCTTCATATTGGCCACTTAATATAATTACGGTTCCCAACACAAGGCATGAAAACCTGATAGAAGCACACAGGAACACTTCCTACTTTCACCAAAGGTCTGATCCAAAGACCACTTAGGGAAGCCTTTCAATTCACTTAATGAAATGTAGATCAGATTTCTAGAAAGCAGACAGTCAATTCAGGATTTCAGCAGTGGATGTATGCTGCAATAAATATACTTATCCACCTTTATGCATCCTTTCATGCTTGACATTTATACATTCAGTGTATCTCTTTTTTTTTCATAGATTTTGTAGCCATGTAGCCAATAGCTGATATTAAACTACAAACAATACATTAGAGAACAGTAATTAAAATCTGGAGTAAAAGAAGCCTGATGAAATGCTACTTTTAGTGGTTATATTATATTTGAATAAAATTATACTAGGGTTGATATAGGTCTTATTCTTGACAGGCTAAGAATTTTCCAAGACAAAATTAAAAGAATTATGTAGGAAAAACTGCACACTATTTTATGCCATCAACATAATTAAGTATGACACAACATAAGGATTATGGAAGGAAACCTAAGGAAATTCAAAATAATTGGCTACTCCAAGCTGCTCCTTCCAACTTGGAGTTTGAATTAATTAAAAGATCAAGTCTAAAACAATAGAAGAAAACCACATACCTAAAAGGATGGTTACCCTCCTAAAAAGTCAGAAAAGACTTTTAGCATAGATTTCCTTCCCGTAGAATGAAAAGAGTTCTAGATATCACACCAACATGACACAGAGGCAGGATCAGCTTGGTTGGGCTCTCTGACCCAGACAGCCTGCAGGAGGAGCATGTGAGAAAGCACTGAAAAGGATTTTATTTTGTTGGGTGTTGCAAGTTTGTCTGTCATTAAGTTGTTAAGGCTCCCCTGTAATCTCATGCATCGCTTCTCCATCTCTGGTTCTTAAGTTGATCCATGGGACACCTGGAGATGACACAAACCTTTTAAACAGACAACTTCCTGTGCACCCAAGCAAGCAAAGAAGTATCTGGGGAAATAAACAGCGTAAATAAACCCACAGGGTATCTTACATTTTATAAGTATCTTACATTTCATTAGCATTATGTGAAAGTCATTGAAGTGACACTGGACAAGAAGTAATGCTGGACAAGAAGTGCAACTGACCACTAGCACCTTTTTATTAAAAAATTGCATGGTTTTGCTCATTAAAATTTGTTGATTAACATCCTCTAGAGAAGTCTGCAGCACTCAGAGCAAGCCATAGCAATCTGCTTAGACTGTATCACCTGCACTGCCCTGGGCTCATGAGGCAGCCTGGTGGCCCCCTATTTATCTGGCAACAGTGAATGTTTTAGTTGTGCTCCTTCCACTCCCTCCATGTTCAAGCTGCAACACCACACTTTCAAAAAACATCAACAGGAATGACTTTAGAACACTATGACTGTTATCCAGACTAGTCCCTCTACACCCTTCTTTCCTTGTCTCCAAACACATGTTCACAGATGAGTGGATAGGTCTGTGTTAAGTCTAAGATAAATAGTGTGATAAGTCACTTCCATGCTCTTTCTGAGCCTACAGTGTGGTAGAATATCTTTTTTGCTTCCCGTGCTGAGAATCAGTGTTTTGCTTTTGTTTTTTGTTTTTTTTTTTCATAAGGAAAAAGAAAAAATAATTGCTCACAAAGAATAGAATAGTAATTTGTATTAGTTGAAATCATACTATAAAGACCTTAATTTTCAGGTTTGTGACCACATATGGAAGTATAAACATCAGATGGATATCACAGAAGTGCAGTATACAAGAATAGTTCAAATTTATGCCACTCCCAGTGACATGTCCATAATTAATAACCAGATTCATGAAGTCATGAAGTGGGTGTGGACAGGGTGGGACCTGTATCAGATGTGGTAGGTAGCTTTGTAGCTTTGCTTCAAGTACAAACTGTTTGGGCAACTGCAGGAGAAATGAGTGGTCTGTGCCAGTCCAGCATGGAAGTGGAGCTGAATGATTGAGGACACACTGTGAGTCACATGATGCAGAACCTCCTGGCTACCACTCATGGTGAACAAGTGGAGATTAAAGTCCCCTTGTTTTCCTTTGTTGAATACCTCCCACTAAAACCCAAGAGATTGTAGCAACAATCTGGGTGAGAATACATTTATTATGACATTGGTGCTTAAGATTTCACCAGCCAAGGTCAGCTAAACACGCAAAAACAACAGATGCCACAGTTGACTTACGTAGGAAATAAAATGTGCAAAGAAAAGTAGCTTTCTACCTTTCCTAGTCAAGTTTTCCTGCTCAGAAAAGAGTCAAATTATCCTTACAACACCTGAACTCATCAGTGGGACATTCTGGCACCTCCTAGCTTCAGTTACCAGTCTTCACATACTCCAGAACACAGAGTATATGAGCCAGGCAACTACATCAGAGCTCAAGGGATGGTCAGACCCAGGGAGGGTCTACGAAGGTGTGGGAGACAGGGAAAAGCATTCCAAGCTGGCTGCACAGGTAGCTCCACTTCATACAATGTTCAAGAGTCCAGTGCCTGACATAGCTCAACAGTGCCCATATTTTGTCCTTTCTCTTCATCTGTCTTTTTCCCAAGCATCTCCAGGAACAGGTATCTTTGGCTTCTGTCATGACTATTTTTTCATTTGTTTAGAGCTGGCTGGGATTTAAAATCCACAAAGATGGAAAAGACTTTTCTTTTTGCACAAACAGATAGATGAAGTCCTAGGATATCATGGCAAGAGGCTAGGTTTTGGAATTAGGTTGCAACTTGGCATCCATTTCCTACTTACACGAGGTAAATATTTCCAAGTGAATCTAAATCATGCATGTAGTCTGTACATAATTAGCTAATGCAGAATCTTTCCTGTTATTTGTGCCTAGTCGCTGGAATTTATCCCCAACATATGTTACTATGGATTCCTTTTTATTGCCTTTTTCAGTCCCTGAAATGGCACATCCCTTTTATGACATATGCTGCATATATATATATTTTGATCACACCACTGCAAAACATCACTGGGGACTAACTTTAATGCTGTTGATACATGGACCTTTTTTTTTTTAAACATGGAATGGACAGACAAGATACATGGGGAAAGACAAGACACTGAGATGGAATATGAGTGACTGGGCACAAATATGAGAATAGGTTTTACAGGATTATGTTAAGTGTCCTTTAGATTGTAGAGATGTCAGCTAACGTAAAACTCTAATGTACCAGCTGCTGTCCAAATAGATCACAAAATGAAAGTCCCCATGCTGAGCAGGGATTAAAATAGAGCAGCTGATGAGTAAGATGCTATTTCTTACATAAATTTCACATTTCATGCACTAAGACATCTCATTGTCAAATATTCGTGGGGTTGCTATTTCCCATGAAAAATCTGCAGCAGAACAAATGCATCAAATCGTTTCACTTTTCAGACTTTAGGATTGTTATTTTCGTGCCACACAGAAACTCCCTTTTAGCCTGCTTTGTGATTCATGTGTTCGGCTGAATAACTCTCCTGGAACTCAGAACAAGAGGGAAACCTTCCCTAAGTACTTCCTGTCTTTTTTCATGTACTAATAACAAGAGGGAGTCCTCCCACCTTTCCCATTTACAACATGCCAGGCACACCTACTGATTGATACACTCACAAGCCTCAGAAACAGTCTGCTTTTGCTCTGTTTTTAAAATAGCACGATTTTCTCTGTCAACAAAAATGTTGTTTATCTCACATTACTTTGTATCAAAGTAATATTAACACACCACTTAATTAATTGCCTGTAGACAAAGGAGAAATCCCAACTTACCATAAAAGATGTGCTTCTCTTCCCCTTTGTCCTGTCTACAGCTAATCACAACTTTGAAAGTGTGTTAATCTTAAAACACAGGAGAGGAATGTGGAATGCTGTGGGGAAGTACAAACTATGCCATGTGTTTAACTGTGGGAGTTTGCAGGCCTTGCTCCAAGGTGCCCAGTGCAATCAGTATGAAACCAATGCTGAAATTTGACTGTGTGAGAATTAAGTAAAAACTCCAGAATGAGGTCTAGTATAGTTACAATTTGAAATGCCAAAAAATAAAAATCACCATCCCACTGTCATATTACAGCCTGTCAATCTGGAAATCCTAAATGAATGGATTCGAACTACACTATCCCCTAGCCACGGATTATTAAGCTTTTCTTAAGAGTTATCAGCACTACTGAAAATAAAATCAAGCCCTTAATTTTTACAGACTGTGTACCTTCTTTTCAAAATATGTGTCCTAAGCATCATGGTTTCCTTGTACTTGGAAAACAAGTAAAATGTTTTGTGTAACTGATGTGAAAAACTAACTTGAGGTGCTGAGTGACTTACCAAACTCTTCAGAAGGCTGCCATGAGGTACTCCAGTTCTAATTGTGGCTTTGCATCTCACTTATTATGTGGGTGTAATCCTGGCCAACTCATTAATCTCCAGGCCTGTTTTTCCAATCTGTAAAAGGGAATATATTATATTTAATTAATACAGTCTGTGGCTATTAATTAGCCAGTATGAAAAGGAATACTGTTTTGAATGACATTTACAATTCCATCTATACCTTTCTGTTCAACTGATTCTGCTTCTGATTTTCCCCTCAAAACAAGCAAATTAAGGCTGGATGAAATTCAATCTCTGTTCATTTCATTACCAAAAGGAAAAGTCTTGGTGAGGTTTTTTCCACACCTTCAAGTCAAAGCTGCACATGCTCTTGCTCTGGCTGTTCTGTGAAATTTAGCTTACAGATTTAATAGATTTTGCTATTCTTAAATGAAACTTTATTCCAAGAATAAATTAAGCTTCACCCTTCCATAATGGAGTGCTGTTACTCTCCTGAAATGCAGCAACCAATGCCTAACAGATCTTTTTTTTCTGTGTTCTATGAGAAAGATTATATTTCTCATACCATTGTTCAAGTGAAGCTGCCACCACCCTGAAAAAGGATGAAAGATAGATAAGACAAAAAAAAAAGCACTATAAAATCAATAGCTTTCTTTGTTATGAAGAAACCAATTAATCCCATGCAAAGATGCAGTTGCCAATGGAATGCAGAAAATTGTAATACCCCTACCAATAAAAACTCTATTCTGAATCCTGGTGTCCTCAACAAATCTTGAAGAAAGGCAGCCAGCAATTTCAAGAGTGTCTTTGGTCTGATTCTCTTCTAACAAAATGGTTTTGAGAATGTTTTATTATTTTTTTGTGAAGGGTGCTAAGAATCTCACACCAGTGAATCCTAGGAAAAAAAGTATGAAATACTGTTGTTTAAAAATGCTGTAGTCTTCAAGACTTTTTAACTTCAAATATTTTATTCATTGCAATTTTATCAAGGTATTTACAATTTACCACGTCTTTCAGGTTCCGACTCCCAGTCTCTGAAAAACAAACTAGCTTCCATATATTTTTAATGAAGTAAAAACTCTGAAGTGCTTCAACCTTCATTAAGGTTGAATCCAGATAAAGACAGAAATTCTTTGTCCTGAGCCTTCCACAAAGATTGATAAAATATTGCAGAGAAGGACTCAGAATTTTTAAACTCCCTGGATTTAGCCTAATTTTCCTCCTTAGATTCTTCTTCCTGTTGTTGTTCTGCTGCCAGACAGTGGATTGCCAGCTCTTGAGAGTTCCTATTGAGTCTCTGAATATTAATTGGTGTTCTCAGAGACCACAGGGCTGAAATCAATGGATCGTATAAGAATCTTCTCATTTTGTCTGAAATGGGCTTTTAGCCCTTGAAATTATGACAAAGGCTGGGAAGAAGAAGAATTGGTTTCAAGAAGCTCAGAAGGAAGCAGGCACATGAAAAAGTCAACATTTATTCCTTTTTATGTATGATTTTTAATGCTCAAATTAGAAAACATTGTGGTAGGAGGTACACTCTTCAAAGTAAGAAGTGTTTATACAAACAAAAGCAGCAAACCCTAATATTCCCTGGGCTTGGGTTCTGTAATAACTCAGGGATTTGGTGAACTGTGAAAAGAATGAGTCTGCAATAGCTTATTATGATAAAGCTTTTGTTTTGAAGAGGTTTGAGCCAGCCACACATGAGCTGTGACAGACCATAGTAAACAAACCACCACTATGAAGGTTTTTTTGCATCAGTCTGCGAACAGCCCAAGCCACAGTCTCCAGTTTCTTCTGCCCTCATAACTGGGTTGAATCAAGGCACCAGTTCTCTGTAACAGGGTGAGAAACATGGCTCAGTACATCTCTGGGTTGTTTAATGTACAGACAGAAGAAGAAATCCAGGCATTCAAGTTATTAAGCCTTGCTAATTTTCTGTGAGCTCTAACTTCTGCTGTAGGTGAGATCCCAGCTTGTATGTCAATTGGAGGAAGAGACTGGATTAAAGGCTAAAACAGGTTAATTAATATTGCATGTCTGAAAAAATCTATAAGCAAACAGCAGCTGTTTAAAATGCTCTAAAGCAGCTGGATCCACAGATAGGTGCTAAAATCTATAGTACATCTTGGACGCATTTTGGAAGACATTAAAAAATAAACATGTAAAATACTATCTCCAAACTATTTTACAAAAGCTCACACTCCAAAGACTCAGAGATTTCTGTCCCTCTGTGTCTCTAACTGGGGTCATGAATCATATTTCAGAGGAAACACAACCAAAACAACAAAGGACTAATTTGGCTCGTTACTTCTGAACATCTGTTCTTGCAGAGATACATCAAGACTGTTTGAAGGAAACCTCTGCCCAAAAAAAGCCCAAACAAAAAAACCCTGGGAGTTTTTGGGTTATCAGTTGAGAAATTAGATTCCTTTTTTTTTTGAATGAAAGTAATTATCTGGATTTTAAAATCAATTAAAAATTGCAGATTCTAAAGTGAAACCACTGACACGGCCTTATTATACCTTGTCTAGGCTGCATTTAAAGAAGATCACACCCACTGCTCTTCTTGACACAAAATCAAAACCCCAAGACCAGGAGAGTGGTTACTATAGCATTCAAACATGAATATAGTCAAGAAGATCAGCTGGAATATAGGCTAGTTGTTCCAACATTATATTAATAAAATGTTTTCAGTACAATTGCCACACAGCACACTCTTCCTGTTTTGAAATCCTAATTTTAAGCCAAAAAAGGAGCCTAAATTTTCAAGTTTAAACATGGTGTAACCCGTAATATATTAACATAGGGAGCCAGTTAAAATTCTGCTTAAGATCCAATTTGCCTTCTTTAAAAAAAACAGTAAAATCTGAAAATTAATCAGGTCTGAGTTGTCTGGATGAGGAAATGCTTTTGCTGTTGTATCAGACACACCTGCTACTCTGTCCAGCAGCTTCCACAATTTGTGGGGTGATCTCAGTTTCAAGTGCTCCCTCAAGAACCCTGCAAGGAGAAAATATTCTACCTTTGCTCAAGCCTCACTTCGTCTGTTTGCTGTTTGTCTTTAGAAATGTGTGGTAGAAGGGTGGTGCAAACTCCTTTCTGGCAACAGTAGCTGAGCTCAGCTCTTGTCAAACTTCAAACTGTCTTAGCTCTTCACCCTTAAAATTTTAAGGTATAATAGTCACCTATTACCAGCCAACAGAGAGAAACTGTCTGCACTAAACTTGCAATCTATTTCCAAGAAAGTCACAGAATAGGATTGATATATATCATCATATGCTGAAATTCAGAATTTGATTAACCAGATGCTATTTTCTTTAATATCTCATGAATAGAAACTACAGTATAAAAACAATTCAAAACAATCATTTACTAGGAAATATGACATATGGCCTGCTAAGCTGCTTTCCTACAGAAATAGCTAAAGATCATCACACTTGGCATCACTCCCTACAACAGTCACTGGGCTCATTAAAACAGACAGTATGTGATTGAGTCCATAAGGAAGATTATTTCTACAGATGGGTAGAAACAATGATCAAAATTACAAAGACTTAGGAGAAAGAAGTAGTCAAGGAGACTTCTCCACCTCCATAACTTCTGTGCAGTAATACAAATCAAAGCAGCACCACTAAAACACTTGCTGGGGAAAAAAAAAAGATGCATTTTCTCCTTTTTCTTCATGGTATACATTTGCATCCTGCTAATGTATGGGATTTCATTTAACTTGTTCTGCTGGAGGGTTTCTCCTCGAGCGGGAACATCCTGATGTGAACAGAAAGCTGGTATCCAGCAGGGGCCACTTGTTGCCTGTGTTTAGTCCCAAGTCAATTGGGTGGAAACCAAAACTTAATGCTGTCATAGGATGAGCCCACGTCCTGTGAGTGGACTGGGATAACCACAACCACTGCACTGGGGTAACCACAACCGTGCTGTGATGTGATACTGCTGCAAATCCCCACTTCCCTGGTGAAGTTACACCAGTAAACCTTTGGGATGTGGCATCACGGGACAGGAAATGTTAAGGCAATTACAGTGTGGACACGACAATCTGATGTGGCAACCGTGCAATCACACTTAGCAAGCGTTTGCATTTGAAAGCAGCTAAGTTGTGATTATGTGCTTGCAACATATCCCCTATAGATGCCAGTGCCGTGGCGTGGATTAGCTAAATTTAGGCTGTAACATGGTGCAGTGGATGGCTTTGCCATGTTCCATCACTGGCCTTGCACAGCCGCAGACCAACATTAACGCTGGGACGGCAACGGTGCCATAGGACTGTTCTGGGAGAGATGGAGCGCTGGTGACAGCGAGAGCGGGGCCAGCGCCACACACGGGCTGCCCAGACCGGCGGGAGGGAGCCTCGGGGCTGTCACGGGCGGATTCAGGAATGCGCTGTATGACGAAACATCAGCTCGGTGACATGGCACCGACACAAGCACACAGAGCCGGCGGGGTGACGCGGGCCCGGTGCGGCAGCGGGAGCCGGCGGAGGCCGCCGAGGCGGCGCTGAGCTGAAGGACGCGGCGGTGCCGAGGTCCCGGGGAGGTGGGTGGGTGGGTGGTCACGGCCGGGCCGCGGGGCCTCCCCGAGGGCCCCGGGCGGTGTCCTGCGGGAGGGCGGGAGACGCTGTCGGGGCAGCGCCGCCATGACCTTCACACCTCGCCGCGTGACGTCACGGTCAGCGGTGACGTCACGCGGCAGTGACGCAGCGGCGCGGGCGAACCCTACCGGCGGACGCGGGGTGGCGCGGGGGAGTGAGAGGCAGCCTCGGGCGGCACTGCCCGGGGAATGCGGCCGCGGCCGAGACGAACCCTCCGAACTCTGCGCGACCCCTCCCCGACCCCGCCGCCATCGCCACATCCGGGTCCCCAGCGGTTCCTCACGGGCCCCCCCCCCGCCGCGCGCCGTGGGGCGGGGCCAGCGTTGCCAGTCCGCCCTCCCCATTGGCCGCTGGAGCGGGGCCGCTCGGGGATTGGCCCCTGCTCGGGAGGGCGGGCGCTGCCGTCTCCCCGGCCGCCCATTGGCCCGGGCGGGCGCGGCGCCGCTCTCTCGTTGGCGGGCGGGCGCGTCCGGCGCGGGGCCGGGGGAGGGTGCCATTGGCTGGAAAGTAGGTTAGTGGTGCGCCGTCGGGTGGCAAGCCAGGCGGAAAGTAGGTCAGGGACGGGGGGCTGCCGAGCCGGGCGCGCGGCGCTGCCGAGGGGGCCGCGACCCCCGCCCCGCCCCTCCCTTCGGTCGGGCGCGGCGCGGCGTGGGGCGCGCGCGGAGCCCGCGGTGAGCGCGAGGGGCGGCGGGCGGGGGGCGCTGGGGGGGCTGGGGGGGGCGTGAGGGGAGAGCGGGGGGGGCCGGGGGGTGTGAGGGGAGCGCGGCCCCGGCGGAGCCGCCGCGCCCCGGGAACAGCGGGATCGCCGGGATGGGGGGGAGCGGCGGGATTGGGGGTAACCGGAGTGGGAGATGGGGGGCTCTGGGGACCCCCCCGGCGGCGGTGCGGCGCTGTGCCCCCTACCACCGGGAGCCGGGACCGCGGCGTGGGAGCCCCGGCCGGTGCGTGGCCCCGCGGCTGTGGCAGCACCGGGAGGGGGGAACGGGGCTCGCAGCCGGGCCCGGGCCCCGCCGTGGGCAGAGCCGGGCCGGGGTCCCGCCGCGGACAGGGGGGGCCGGGCCGGGCTGTGCCCCTGCCCCGGGACGGGGGGGCGGCGGCGGGTCCCACGGAGGGGTCGGTGCCCCGGCCCCGCCACCGGAGCGGCCCCGTCCGAGCGGGGTCTCTGCCGGTCACCCCGGGATCCGGGGAGGCCCCGCGTGAAGCCCCCCGAGCGAAGGTGGTGCTTGGGAATTTGGGAATTCCCGTGGATGTGTCGCACGGTGGCCGGTCCCGCCCGAGGGGTTCGCTCCATGGGGAACCCGCCCCGTTCCCGGGCAGCCCTCCCGGTGCCGGGGCCGCGTCTGACACCTCTGAGCGCCTGGGCTGCCGCGGGGAGAAGGGATGCGTGGAACACACGCCGGGAGCGTCGAGGCGGCTTCCCGAGATCGGGATTTTTGCGCTTGGGGAGGCAGGAGGAAGAATCGCTTTGCATTTTTAATTGCCGAGGGTTTCTGTTACTCCAGTGCCTCGGCTATAACAGTTTTGGGAAGGTTTTGGTACTTGGAAAATAACGGTGAAGGAACAAGTGGGTGTGTTTCCTTGCCATGGAAGCAAATATGCTCGCAGGAATTTTAAAGTGCTTTCTCAGTGTGCGAGGTAGAAAGGGTCAGCTGCAGGGAGCGATCGTCTGCTGGGATAATTTTGAGTCTAATCTTGTCTCAAAATTCAGTCTTTAAGTAGAAATTTTTAAAAAATGCTTCAACATTCAAAATGATACTGTGTTTCTCTTTTTATTAAGCTAAAACAGTACTGGTCCTGCCTGTTCAGTATATCTTTTCTTTAATCAAAAGTGCTTTTTAGATGGGATTGACTGATAATACACGGGCTGCAGCTTTTTTTTTGTAGGGGAGAAAAGAAAGGATGTTTGTTTTAATTAGCTGTAATTCTGGCTAACTGTCTCTGTAAACGGTCTTGCCCTCCCAAGAACGTATGTTTTGTATCCTCTAGGAATATGCAAATGTAAATAGCTCTTTGAAGCATCAGCAACTACAGGCCTCTCAGTCTGGTTATTCTAAACCACAGTTGCTTATTAAGGGGAAAGGCTCTACTACTTCTGACTTCTGTGGGTTTGTGTTTCTCATGGCCATTCATGGTTTTTGATGCCTACTTGTATGTAAAATAACCTCTAACCACAACTTTTTATTGGATTAATAGGCTGCTTTATCCTGTCTTCCTTTCCATGCTGTGTGTTCCCATTGTCTGTTTGGATACCAGCTGTGGTGTGAGGGGCTGTGTAGGCTTGGGGTCTGTAAAAGAAGTTCCTTGGGAGAGTGCCCAGGCAAGAGGGAATTTCCACAGAGAATGTGAGGAGAGCTGTTTGGTTTGGCTGTCAGTAAACTAAGGTGACTGTAACTGGAATTCCACAAAGCTGGAAGTAGGATCTGCTGCCATGTCACTGTCACCATGGGCTCCCAAGAGATCTGCTGTATTTGGGGACCATTGCTTGGAATGTATTAGGAAGGTGATGTTTGTAGGGGGAGGGGTTTTTTTTCCTTCAAATACCTGCTCTCAAAAAGTCTTTTGGAAAACCAGGAATAAGAACAGTGAGGACTCACTGAATTTATTTGGCAGAGCTCAAAGTTGCACACAGTTCCTTGATACTGTGCAAGGCAATGATGACAAAGCTGAGGGCAACTGTGGTGGCTGCAGCCTGTGTGCCATTTTTCAATGGCACTGTTAGCAGGAGACATGCAGGTTAATTAGTTTACAGGAATGCAGAAGCTGTTTTCCAGCTCAAATTCGATATTTTACGCTGTTTTCAGCACGGACCCAATTGCCTGTGTGGTTACACTGTGGCAGGAGGGGCAGGAGAACCTGAAGGAATACATATTTTTAATCTTGCAGAGCTGTTTGGTTGTCAGTAAGTTGACAGAACTCAAAGAATACTTCAGGTTTCTCTATTTACTTTGATACATTAGACATGGTTTGAAACTTTAATTTTTGTCAGTCATCACAGTCAGAGAACTTCAGCCTGAAATTACTGATTTTGATAAGTGCAGTAGCTGAGATGACGCTGACTGGATCTCAGCACCAACTTTTGAACTTAGTTGTTGGAAGTTCTGCTTGATAAACCCATGGAAGTTACTGTGGAGGTTTGGAGGTGCTTGAAGATGAAAATAAGGTGTTTTATGGCATTTTCAAGTGCATTTTCCATCTGGGTCTTTCTCCAAGAGTTGTTAAGATAGATTTCAGATGATGGACTAAAGTAAAGCAGAGGTATACTCTGCCTGTGGGGGATGTGTGTGTGTATGTATCTGTATGTATATGGTAGTCTTGCACTGCAGCAGTTCCAGGTTTAGTTAAATCAAATCCAGACTGGTGAATTTTGTGTACTCAGGTGTTACGTAGTTGGAACTCAAGGCATTGAATCAGAACACGAAATGATGGACTTGCAAAATGAGAATGCTTTTCTTCTAAAGAATTGGTGTACTGAGTTATTTAAAAAGCCTATTGAAGTTTTGAGGGTTTTTTTGGTGTGAGGAGGAGATCTCCACTGTAATTATCAGATTGTTTTTATCTGTATTTAATCACTTTTTGAATATTGTCAGATAACCTGTGATGTATACCTGACTGAACTTCACCTTGAATGAGGTGCACATTGGGGTGAATAACTCACTGGCATGAACTACATATTGCACCTGCCTTTTTTTACCTCAATTTGTTGGAAAAATGCAGTGAGGCTACTTATCCAAGGCCCAGACTTCATCTCCTTGGAAACCTGATCTTTCACCAGATGTTGAGAAATGTAATTTCTCTTTTAATCCATTTCTGCAGAAGAGTACAGATCAAAACAGCATCTTCAGGCTTTGTCAGCCTGCAATATTCATTAACTAAAAAATACAGTCTGGCATTTCAGCCCTTGCCCCAAAGAAGATCGATAGTTTCTGTTGTGTTTGGTATTATTTCAAATTTATTTTTAGCCGTTGCTAAAGTTCCTGGTTTACAGTTTAATTCAGTTCAAGAAGTGGCTGACAATGGGTTCTTCACGTGTAAAGTGCAGGATTGTTTGTGTTCACCTTTCTGGGTCGTCCTCTCTCCTTTGCAGCTGCAAAGAGAGATTTCTTCGCCCGGTGCTTGTAACCTTTTCAGCCTCCTGCCATTTGAGAAGCTGTTATTCAATGTCTCCTGTGTCAGACGCACTTCTGGGTCAGCTGCTGGTGTCAGAACAGCTTGTGACCCTGCCCTGGAGCCGTGCTGGAGTTCACTAGGTTGGTCTTCTCTAGGAACGGTGCCAGTAGGCTGCTTATAGAGCAAGGAATATCCTTGGCAGGGTTTTAGAATGGTGAACTAACAAGCCACGTTTCTTGTGGCCCAAGGTGTTGACGTTCTCTGCTAACTTTAAATAAACCCATTCATGTGAGTGCAAGCAGCTGAGGCAGAGGGTTGTAGTTTTCCTGGTTGTTTTGACAGTGCTTTCCTTGCAAATCCCAGTAGGCTCTGTTTTCCAGGTGCAAGGCGAGTCAGTGGCGCCCGGTACAAGCAGCAAACGCGTTGCTAAATCCTTAACGGTCCTTCCCTGGCGTGGCTGGGGTGGAAATCCATCTTCCCAGGTGTCATTCCTGTAACACTGGGAAGGATATTGGGCAATTCCTAAGATGCATGACTCTGAAATCACTCTCATAGGAAGGCATTTTATGGTAAGTCGTAGGTGCTTATTCAGTTGCAGCCTTTTGCCTCAATTCCTTTCTGTGTCAGCTAAAAATTAGTTAATGGAACCCACGTATTTTAAAGATTGGGTGTGTTCTTGATACAGGACTACTCAGAAAACTCTAATCCAGTTTTATTCATTTGGGATTGATGTAGGTTTCGAAGGGAGAATGAATTGAGACTATCAGAGAACTCAGAAATAAGTGTTATTCTTAGTCTCAAGTTCTTTTTATCTTGGAAACTCCCTTAAAGTGCCTGTGCTTTTTATAGTTTGTCTAACGAAAGAAGACAAAATCAGAAAGACTTTGGTAGAAATTGCTAAATAATGCAGTACTGCAGAATATTAATTGGGTGGAGTGAGAAGGAAAAAACCAGGAGAAAATAAAACTCATATACTTTTATTTTAACTTTTCATTTTTTCTAAGAATGTTTTTTTCTGTCATTAAAACTGGTAGTTTTATAGTTTCCTTGAACTGGTTTGGTTGGGTTTTGCTTTCTTTGACTTGCTATGAATGGATTTCTTTGTTATCTGTGGATTTTTCTTGGAGTATTATGAAATTTACGACTTCTGTTCCAATTTGAATCAAAATAATACATTAAAAATAACAAAACTTTTATCCTTTATGGTGTGTGTATGGATTGTAGTTGTGTTGAGAGTGTCAGCAAGATGGCTTTGGTTTGAGTTCTGCTGTTACTTTTACTTTTCACTCAAGGACCTCTGATAACTGTATTTTAAATCCCCCGGAGTTTTGGGGCTTTGTGCTGCAGTTTGGCTACTGGCTTATTAGTTTTAGTATAACCTCTTAAAATAGTATTTATTTTGCCTGTAGACTAGAATGGCCTGCTCATTTTATCAGGGACAAAATTTGTGGTCCAGAATACATTGCAAAAAAAAAAAAAATCAGATATTTGGTTTTGAGGTTTATATTAGAATATGTTCTTTGACCTTGTCTTGACCACATTGGGTTTTCCATTTTGAAGTTCTGGAATTGTTGACTGAGAATGGAAGAAAATCAGTATTAACACTGTGCCATCAATATACTTAAGAGTACTTTTGTCTTATGCTCAGGATGTGGCCCAAATTCAGAAATCCACTGAGGTTTGTGATCTTAGAAGGCTCTGGTATCTGGATTTAGGTTTTTTTCCTTAACAGTCTGATAAAGGCCCAGAACGTTAGGCAAACGTGCTGTCCTAGAAAACATTATACTGTGCTTTTAATCTATACCCAGTTTACTAGGGCTTAGAAGTTTCTATTACAAAATAGTGTTGTCTTCTCCCTGTTTTTATAGAGTTTCTCCTGTTTCTCTTATTTGAAGATATTTTTTGGCTGCAATGGCCAAACCAGCCTCTGAATATTGCAGTTTATTTTAGAAACCTGTCAAGTCAGGCTCAGTGACTTCTTAGAGGGAGTTGTCACATAAAAACATTAGAGTTGCTGGAAGTGCTCTGTAATTAAAGAATATTCTGTTTAAAATGTTGTCAAATGCTTGCTGTGCAGTTTGGGTCCAAATTCTAGAAGTACTGGAAGTTATTCATATTTTAGAAATACAAGGCCAGTAATTTGATCTTCCTATTCTAAACAGGAAGACATAAATAAGAGCAAAGAGTTTATGCTAGCTTGGGTTTGTGCTGGGATTTTCCGTTTCATCTCTGTTAGAAACTCTAGGGCTTTTATATAAATATATTTATCCCTGTCTGAGACATGTGCAACTTGGTCAGCTTGTCTGTCCAGGAAAGAGTCTGCAGTAAGATGGGTATTTCCCTGTTGTGGCATTTTAAAATCTAGTTCAGTCTGTTTAAGATATCCCAGCTGGCAATAAAGAGATCTCAATTACTGTACTTGGCATTATTTGCTGAATGAGGTAATTCCTGTCCTAATTTCTCTGACTTGACCATGAGACTCTTCCATAGCAAATGCCTGCTTTATTTTCTTAGCTGGAGTAGCTCATTTGTGACTCTAATGCTTTTGTCATTGTCAAGAATAAGATGATGAGGAGGGAAAAAAACAGCAGAGGAGAAAATTACAGCAGTCAGCTGTTATGGAAACTGATTTTTCCACATTCCCATTCCTGGTGGAAATTATCAGCTGACCATCTTAGAGCAAATTTTAGCGACTCTGTCCAGCTGATGCCACTGTGCAAGTTTTCTGACTGTATCCTTCATCTGTATGTCCCTCCCAAGAATTCTGGGCTGACTGATGAAGTTTTGGAGACTTTCAAGCATCTGTGTGGGAAATGCCGCTGTTCGGGGGTAGCATCACCAGAGAGACTTTCTGGTACTTTGGCAGGACAAAAATCAAAATTCCATGGCCAAAAAGAATTATCTGGTGCCCAGCAATTTGCTTTATCATGACACATGAATCCTTTGCAACATCCAGTGACAGCTGGATGAATTTGGACGGGAGTTTTGATGATGATTTAAGCTGGATTGATATGGACAATGTAGCCTCTATCAACTCTCCACCTCTTTCCCAGCTAAGCATTTCCCTGTGTGTGTCCTGTCCCTCTGTTCCATAGGGGCAGATGTGTTAGGGCAAAGATACTGAACTGGGGAATCTGCTGGGACTCAAGGCTGGCTTTTCCCACGAAGATTGATTTGGGATTACTGAGACCATACAACTTGTGACTTCATAAACGTTTCTGCTTTTGTAGGTTAGGAAACAGCAGAGCTCACGGAATGAGTAGTCCTGAAAGGCAGGTGGGAGAGGCAGTAAGTGTGAAGAGTGCTGTTTTAAACGTGTTACACTGCAGCCTTGATGTGGAAGCAGAGGCTTTGTGGCAGAATATTTTTGGATTAAGCTGTGTTGGGTCATTTCTTTCATAAATCTACATAAAAATTTGATTAAAGAAAACTGGCTTTGATAATAAAACCCAGAAGCCAGAAAAACGAGTGACTTTTTACTTTAATCTCTGGAGCTATACAGGGGAGCTTTTCAATATTTATTGCGCCATTTTTTTTGAAAAATTCTGTTTTCTAACAAGCAATAGTAACTCAGTTAGCCCTCTGACCCTTTTCCCTTTCCCCTCACTGGCCCATATGCTCCTGGGTTTCCAGATGAACAAATATAGAAGTGTTTCAGATACGCAAATCTCCCAGGAGCTCCTTCACCACGGTCACCTGACTGTGCCAGAGCTGAACACTTGTGTGTCCAAGTTGTTGTCAAACTGATAATTTATCTGAAATGAGCAGAGGCCCAGCAATGCCTCCAATTAGACTTGCCAGGAAATCTGGAGGAAATGGAATAGAGGGAAGAGACTGAATGGAAGAAGATTTTTCTTTTCCAAGATCACTATTTGCACTCCCTTTTTAGGAGGGGACCTGTCTGTTTACTAAAAGAAAAATAATAAAAAAATCTTGATTTGCTGTTTAAGAATGGTTCTCATCTGGCTGTAAGTTTGTCTCCATGTTCTGTTTTTGGAAGCAAAACTCTCTAAAATCTACCCAGGCTTCCCCTTAAGGAAATACTGGCACCTTAATTCTTGATGTTCCTGTCAAATAGCTCTTTAGGAGAATTGTCCTTGTGTTCAGTGACATGAAAAGCTTTCTGTATGACTGTAATGTGAACTTCTTAAAAAGATTTACTAAAACTTTTGAACTTAATTTGGGAATACAGATGGAAAGTAAGAAGAAGTTTAAGTCAGCGGTTAACAGGAGAATCCATACCTTCTGCTTAAAATGAATTGACCTAATTTTTTTTCTTAGAGCACATAAACACTAGTAAGGACCAAATAGTAGCACATCTTGGAAAGAGGCAGGACCAAAAAAAAAATCCTCCTTGTAAAAAAAAGTAAGGAAAAAAATGCCTGTTGGTATCTCATTAGAGACCTAAGTAATGTTGTAGCATTATTATTGTGTAATGATTATTATTCAATCTTCTATGATTTTTGAGGTCCCTTTAAATGCTTAAGTCAATGTTGGAGAGTTCTGAGTGCTTTTTAGACAAAATAATTGTGCTTTTTAGAGCAGGATTTGCTCAGGCAAGAGGTTAAGCCTCCATGGTTTCATTCATGGTGTGCTGTAGAACTTGTGTAATGTACTTCCTTTGACACAGATTTCAGATGCCAACTTCTTATTTTTTAAAACAAATATTGGTCACTCATCCAACTTGTCCTCTAGTTTTAGGATTTTTCTGTGCTTTGCTAGTTCCCTGTAGCCCCAAACATACTGACATGATGATGTTCCTTGACAAACCTGAAAAAGTACCAGTTTCTGTTACTTGCCAATGAAACCTATTTTTCCATTTTTCTGCTGAATTTTGCTGGGTGACTTCGGAAAACTTGGTAACCAGTGTCTCGACTGGTCCCTGGTTTTTTTGTGTGTGTGTGTCTGTAAATAAAACTCACCCTTAAAATTTCCTTTGTGTGGCTTTTTGTCCTTTTGTCTCAGTTCTGTGAGTGCTTTGTTTGCTTTTTTGTGTGTGTCTATATGTGTGGTTTGTGGTGATGACAATGTTTTGGAACCATGCTGTGTTGGCAACCGGCTCAGAGAATAATACTGGTGCAAGTTCTCAGGTTTGCCTGTAGGAGTGGCTGGCAGGTGGATTTCAAAGACTTTCAGGAAG